CCGGCAATCTTGATTCCAGCTTGTGCTTCTTCCAGCCCAGCGTTTCTCATGATGTACTCTGCATATAAGTTAAATAAGCAGGGTGACAATATACAGCCTTGACATACTCCTTTTCCTATTTGGAACCAGTCTGTTGTTCCATGTCCAGTTCTAACTGTTGCTTCCTGACCTGCATACAGGTTTCTCAAGAGGCAGGTCAGGTGGTCTGGTATTCCCATCTCTTTCAGAATTTTCCACAGTTTATTGTGATCCACACAGTCAAAGGCTTTGGCATAGTCAATAAAGCAGAAATAGATGTTTTTCTGGAACTCTCTTGCTTTTTCGATGATCCAGCGGATGTTGGCAATTTGATCTCTGGTTCCTCTGCCTTTTCTAAAACCAGCTTGAACATCTGGAAGTTCACGGTTCACGTATTGCTGAAGCCTGGCTTGGAGAATTTTGAGCATTACTTTACTAGCGTGTGAGATGAGTGCAATTGTGCGGTAGTTTGAGCATTCTTTGGCATTGCCTTTCTTTGGGATTGGAATGAAAACTGACCTTTTCCAGTCCTGTGGCCACTGCTGAGTTTTCCAAATTTGCTGGCATATTGAGTGCAGCAAATTCACAGCGTCATCTTTTACAATTTGAAATAGCTTAACTGCAATTCCATCACTCTCACTAGCTCCGTTCATAGTGATGCTACCTAAGGCCCACTTGACTTCGCATCCCAGGATATCTGGCTCTAGGTGAGTGATCACACCATCGTGATTATCTGAGTCATGACGATCTTTTTTGGACAGTTCTTCTGTGTATTCTTGCCACCTCTTCTTAATATCTTCTGCTTCTGTTAGGTCCATGCCATTTCTGTCCTTTATTGAGCCCATGTTTGCATGAAATATTCCCTTGGTGTCTCTAATTTTCTTGAAAAGATCTCTAGTCTTTCCCATTCTATTATTTTCCTCTATTTCTTTGCACTTATCACTGAGGAAAGCTTTTGTATCTCATACGAAGGCTTTCGTATCTCGTACCTTGCTGTTCTTTGGAACTCTGCATTCAAATGGGTCTATCTTTCCTTCTCTCCTTTGTTCTTCACTTCTCTTCTTTTCACAGCTATTTGTAAGGCCTCCTCAGACAGCCATTTTGCTTTTTTGTATTTCTTTTTCTTGGGGATGGTCTTGATCCCTGTCTCCTGTACATTGTCACGAACCTCTGTCTGTTGTTCATCAGGCACTCTGTCTATCAGATCTGGTTATTTCTCACTTTCACTGTATAATCGTATGGGATTTGATTTAAGTCATGCCTGAATGGTCTAGTGGTTTTCCCCACTTTCTTCAATTTAAGTCTGAATTTGGCAATAAGGAGTTCATGGTCTGAGCCACAGTCAGCTCCTGGTCCTGTTTTTGATGACTGTATAGAGCTTTTCCATCTTTGGCTGTGAAGAATATAATCAGTGTGATTTCATTGTTGGCCATCTGGTGATATCCATGTATAGAGTTTCTGTTTTGTTGTTGGAAGAGGGTGCTTGCTATGACCAGTGCGTTCTCTTGGAAAAACTCTGTCATATGTTATCAGGGAATTACAAATTAAAACAGCAGTGAATTACCACCACATGCCCATTAAAATGACTATAATGCTGAAAACACCAAATTCTGGAGAGAATATGGACAACAGGTACTCTCATTGCTGATGGGAATGGAAAATGGTATAGCCAGCTTAGAAGAGAATTTGGAAGTTTATACAAAATGCAACATAGATATAAGATGCAGCAAGTAGGTATACACTATATACCAAATGTGTTGAAAACTTATGTTAATGCAAAAATCTGCCCACTAGTGTTTATAACAGCTTATTCAAAATAGCCAAAACCTGGAAGTAACCAAGATGTCCTTTAATAGGTGAATGGGGGAGGGTGGATCGGGATGGGGAACACATGTAAATCCATGGCTGATTCATGTCAATGTATGGCAAAAAGCACTACACTATTGTAAAGTAATTAGCCTCCAACTAATAAAAATAAATGAAAAAAAATAGGTGAATGGATGAACTCTAGTATATCCTTATAATTGAAGATTACTCAATGGCAAACAAAAGAAATAGTCTATTAACCCACAAAAAGACATGGAGGAAGCTAAGTGCATATTGCTAAATGAAAGTACCCAAACTGAGAACGCTACATATTCATACGATTCTAACTATATGATATTCTTAACAAGGCAAAATTAAGGAGACAATAAAAAGATAAGGGTTGCTAGGATTTGGGAGAGGGCTTAAGGTATATCTAAGTGGAAGATAGGAAATTTTTAGGGCAGGCAGTGAAACTATTCTCTGTGATATTCTAATGGTGGAATGCATCATTATGCTTATGTTAAAAGCCATAGATTATACAACATAGAGAGTAAACTCTAAGAAAGCTATGGAATTTAGTTAATGATAGTAATTTGAATAATGTGTCAGTATTGGTTCACCAACTGTACAAAATTTCACCACACTAAGGGAAAATGTTATAATAAGGGAATCTGTGCATGAGTGTCTGTATGAAGGGATATATGGGAACTCTGTAGTTTCTGTTCAACTTATCTGTAAATGCAAAACTACTCTAAAAAATAAGATCTATTAAGCTAAAAAATATGAAGAAAAAAGAATGAGAGAAAGATATGTAATGATTATAATAAACGTCATGATAATGTTTTCCTGAGTGGAGCGGAAAGAAGTTGTTTTGGAGCTTCTGATATGCTGGTGCTGTTCAGTTATGTTTGCCTGGTAAAATTACATGTATAGGTTTTATTTATTATTTTCTTTATGTATACTATATTCACAGTTATACAAAATGTGAGAAGGAGGAAGAGCAAGGAAGGAAGCCACAGAAGGATAGAAATAAAAGATTAATGTTGTTTCCTTGAGATTTATGACTACCATAATAGAGAAATTTAATTCTGAGATTAAATAGATAAAACTGCATATCTTTCTGTGATCAAGAAGACAAAGTCAAATATATAACCCCAATATAGAGCAGAGACACAAAGAGATGGAAAATATGAATGAAAAGTTAAGAAACATGGATAATTGATGTAGATTTTGGTTGTATATAGTAGAGATTTAGAAATAAAATATAGTCACAAAGCAGGGGACCTTAATAATTAAGTGAAAGAGGGGAAATTTCCCTGCAGTAGAAAACAACTAAATTATTACAGCTGAAAGGATGCATCTTTTTATCAGGCAGAGTAAATGAAACAGGCAGTTTTCTCATGTCTGAAGTTGTATATTTTAGTTTGAGTGCGAAAGAAAGACATTTCCAAACACATGAGGATACGAAGTTTACTTTTCACCCATCCTATCTTACTGATGTCTTACCAAAAATGAAAAAGAAATTCAAAATACGAGATGAGATGAGAATAAATAAAATGTGTGCAAAAAGTGAGAGTAAAACTGATAGATCAATCTAAATAACTGATCAATTGTTTGTAAGTGAAAGTCGCTCAGTTATGTCCAACTTTGCAACCCCATGGACTGTACAGCCCATGGAATTCTCCAGGCCAGAATACTGGAGTGGGTAGCCTTTCCCTTCTCCAGGGGATCTTCCCAACTCCTGTGTTACAGGCGGATTCTTTACCAACTGGGCTGTCAGGGAAGCCCATTGTTTGTAAAGTTTAATGCTCTTAAGAATCCCTACAAGAGGAGTGGCTTAAAGTTTAAAACATTTTTAAAATGACACTACAGATTATTTCAAGTAAACAGTGGACAGAAAGTATATAAGTTATTAATAACCGGTATAAAATAATTTGAAAAAACTAATCCAATGAAAAACATGAAAGGATACAAAAAAAGAAAGAATAAATCATTGAAAACAAACAAGTTGGCTAGAATAGGTCCAAATATGTCAGTATTCATGAGAAACATCACAGTTAGAAAGTATTATAGTTTGGTTACTAAGAGAGATTTCTACATTAAGAATATATAGGAATATTAAAAATGAAGAATGGGGAGCAGAAAGGGCAATATTCTTCAAGAACACTGGATTGAAGTTAAAGATCATTAAATGGGAGAAGAGAGCAACATTTTGTTTTGATAATATTTTTAACCCATCAAAAAGACAGTAGCCCATTTACTGGAAGCAAGCAAGCATCAGTATGTATATAAACAAAAACTGATAGTAGTGGGACGAGAAACAGAGGCCACACCACTTTGGGAGAATTCAACATGCCTTCTTTAGGGATTGAGCAGTTAAGTAGAGAGCAAGTAACCAAATTATACTTAAGAGAATTTGAATATCAAAAGTTACTGAAAAATAGTGACATAATACATCTTTGTAAAGAAGATGCCTTCCAAGTCATTTCAGTTTTCAGATTTGTTAAGAGATTATACATTGAGTTCATTTGTAAATTTTATTTTCTTCTGTATTATATTTATTTTTTGTATTCCTTGCATTGTTGTGTTTTTTTTGTTGTTGTTGTTTAATTGGAGTTACCTGTGATTTGTCTGTCTTACTGATTTTATATTTAACTTGAGTTTTTGGTTTCATCGATCACATCTTTCATGTCTTCTCTGTGTCATTAATGTCTGCTTTTTATTTTATCAATTTTGTTCTCTCATTTCTGGTTTATTTTGGCTTTTTTGGCCTAGCTTCATGAGTTGAGTTCCTAGTTTATTATAAGTCTTTTATGTTTTCTAATGGTCACATATAAAGATGTTTTAAATGGCATTAGCTGTATTTTATAAGTTTTGATATGAACTTTTTTTTTTTACTGTTTGTTTTAAAATAATATGCAGTATCAGTATTGCTTTTGTCTTTAACCAGGCAGTTATTTAGAAGTGTGTTTTTAAATTTCCAAAAGTTAAAAATGTAGATCATTGGTTATTGGAGTCTTTACTCACTCTCCCCTAGTTATATCTGGTGTTATGTTAAACCAGGACGGGTTTCCAGAGAGCCTGCACCAGGTGAAGCATTAAGTAATTGAATAAATCAAAAGTTAGTTTTGTTTTTAATAAATATGTTTTTCGTCATTGTTTTTTATTTCCTTTAGTCTTACTGCTCTGATCCAAACCTCGTGTTAGATTTGAAGAACCTCATTGTGCTTTTTGCTGACACACTTCAGGTTTGTGGCTTATGTTTATATAGATTTAACTTAGATGAGTGTTTCGTCAGCTCTAAATCCTTTGATTGTCTATCTAAGCTTGAGTAAGTACCTTTTTCTTTCTCGTTGTGTTTCTTCTTTTCCTAGAGGTAGATAATTTTTATCTTTTTGTAGCATTTCCTGGTCATAACTTTGTCTGTTATGTTCTCATAATTTATTCTCATCCCCCTTTTTTTCCTCAAAGCAAATCAATTAGTTGAACTCACTACATTAGTTCTTAAAGTGCTCCTAATTCAGATACAGTGTCTGAGTGATTTTGGATTTTCTTACTTACTATTTTGAATAATGATTATTGATATGAACCACATGTTATATTCAATAGAATAATATTAGAAGTGGGTAAGATTAGTAGCATTCTCATTTTCTGACCCTACTCCTGAAAGTTGCTCCTTACAGAAGGAGTTATAGGGAAAACTTCATTGACAGTTACATCCAATATACATTAATTCTAATGTTCATCTTTTTATTTTTTTCTGACCGGCTCAAATATTTTGGTATATATCTTTTAATTATTGAGGATAAACAATAGATATTAGGTGGGAATGGAAGATTCTTGTATCATGGTTTTATTTAAGTTGTTGTCCAAAGAACAAAATTATCTTTCAGTGCCTAATCTCTCTTGTGTTGTTTAAAAAACATCACCTTATAAAACGGAGCTTTTTTCTTATTTTGTTTCAGGTGTATGGTTTTCCTGTAAATCAGCTTTTTGACATGCTATTAGAAATCAGAGACCAGTATAGTGAAACTTTGCTAAAGAAGTGGTCAGGTATTTTCAGGTGAGAAATTATCTATAGTTGTGTGTGTGTGGGCATGCGTGTTTGTACACTCATCTTTATACTTAAGGGTTTTCAGGTATAATAAGCAACAAGTGTATGTGGCTTATTTTTTTCTAGGTCTGATTCCAATTATGATTGGGAATTCAATTTAATAGTAATGGTGTCCCAAATAAAGTTCCCAAGACATTCAATCTCTGGATATTAGTGCCTATTATGTGAGGAGTCCCCAAATCCCCAGATTTGTTTCATTGAGTAAATGCCAGATACCTTGGTTCATACCAACCAGATCACCTTATGTCATCTTAATTTGATTTTTTATTTTCTCTTTGGGAATCATGCCTAATCTATGTCTCACTTGTAGGATAGGGCTTTTAAACCCTTTTGAATAATTTAGCTTTTTTGGAACTTTTTTGAAGACTCGCTCATGTTATTCCTCATCTTCTTATTCTCCATAGCCGAAAAAGAGATCTATTACAATCTAATATTTGAAGCATATCATTTAAATAGTTACTGCAACATGCATACAACAATAAGAAAATTATTGTATTACAACTCCACTTACAAATATTTCCTTGGACATGTTTGCCTCACACATAACTCATGTCAACTCACTTGTTTCTTCTTTTGAAGGGATCTTTCTGCTTACTGCAGGACCACTTCCCCAGATCAACTTACTTTGTTTTCAAGTTCTTATAGCTTTACGGTATTACACTGTCCCATTAATCTTTTTTTTTTCATTTATTTTTATTAGTTGGAGGCTAATTACAATATTGTAGTGGCTTTTGTCATACATTGACCCATTAATCTTACTCTTCACATTTTATAAACATATAGTTGATAATTATGTAGTGTAACTCATTAGTGTATAAATATAAATATTTGTATTTCTAAAAAGTCCTATTTATTAATGATATAATTTTCTTTAGGGGAGATTATCTTTTGAAAATTAGTATCATGATATATCCAAGCACATCTAATCTGAAGCCTTCAGTAAATTTCTTTTTTGATTTTGGTAGTATGGTCTCTGCTCTGGAGAACTCCTAGTCTAGTTAAGGACACAGAATCTTTGGATGAAGAAAAAGTCATTCTTAATATAGAGCAGTAGATGAAGTACATGAACATAGTTTGATAAAATAGAAAATCTAGTTTAGAATTAAAGAACATAATAAAAAAAGTCTTTATTTTTTTTTTTTAAGAAAACATATAAAACCTCTTTGCCTTCTCCAGAGTTCACTGTTTTTTTTTTTTTTTTTGGTTGCTTCTCATTTGCCTTAAGGCTTCAACATGTTGCCTTGAAATTTTCTGTCTGAGCTATAAATCTCAAATACTATGAGGTCATCTTTATACTTGTGTTCTATTTGTTTTAGAATGCAATTTTACTTCTGTGTTGTTTTTTTTTTTTTTAAGATGTCCTTACCTAAGACCAAATAGCTGTACTGTAAAAGGAATAGATTAGGGACTAAGAAATGTTTATTTGAGGTTGTGGTGAATATACAACCCTTTGAGTTCTCCTGAAAGTTATTTGTGATCACTCTACTGATTAACTCACCTGTCTTTCCTTTTTTACTTTATCCCTCCCTCCTTTCCTTTCTTCTTTTATTTTCTTTATAGAAACATACTTGATTCGGACAACTACAGTCCTATACCAGTAACAAGTGAAGAGATGTATAAAAAAGTGATAGGACAATTCCCATTCCAAGATACAGAGCTGGAAAAGGTAAGGAACACTAAAGTAAACTTCTCTGATTTGGTGTCCTCTTAAAGCTTTCTTTGTGTCAGTCTCATTAAAGGCATAATTTCTAACTCAATGAATTAGGAATCTAAAACAGCTTCAAAGGATGATTTTTGGGCTTAGAGGAACAGAAGTTCCTGTTTAGGGAACCAATTAGTAAATGGCTTTGGGGTATTGTCCACCTCTGCAGTGTTTAGGAGATTTCTGGCAGTGTTTCCTTTTGATTTACACTTTGAAATGTTTGCTTTTCTTATACTTTGAGGACATTTTATCCCCAAAACATACAGTAAAATTTACCATGCTATATAATTGTATTGGTTTTGACTGTGCTTTGTGGTGTATGCACTACCACAACAATGTTGCAGAACAGTTCCATGATTCCCCAAAATTAAAGCATGCTATACCTTCTTAATCAATTGCTCCTCAACCCCTAGCTTTTGGCAACCACCTATCTTGTTGCTATCCATCTACTTTTACCTTTTCTAAAAGGCCTTATAAATGGAATTATATAGTGTGTAACCTTTTGAGATTGGCTTCTTTTACTGAAGATAATGCTTTTGAGACTCATCTAAGTTGTTGCACTTATCAATACTCATTCCTTTTTATTGCTGAGTATGTATCAGAATTTGTTTATTGGGTTTTACAGGACATTAGAATTGTTTATTTAATTTAATCTTACTCTTTTTAGCATTAGAAAACTTTCACAAATATGTTTTTAAAATGTAAAGTTAAGAAGGCAGTTCCTAGTGTGCAAGAAAATCTCTTTTGCATTTTAATTAGTTAATAGGTATTTTCAATGTATGCTCATTTGTAACTTTCATTAATTCTTGCTTTTACAGCAACCATTCCCAAAAAAGTTTCCATTTTCTGAATTTGTGCCAAAAGTTTACAACCAAATTAAAGAATTTATCTATGCCTGTCTGAAGTTTTCAGAAGATCTTCATCTAAGGTATAGTATGAAATCATGGAAGTGCAATAGATACTGAGATTATGGCTCTATATACATAAATATTCTGGAATACTTTTGATGTTCCCTTCAGTTCCAAGTTTGGAAGTCTTAATATTAGCCCTGTGTGGTATGCCACTGCCCTATTTATATAGTCAGGTAAAAAAAGGGAAGTTGGAAACTCTTGAATAATTTCTTTTTATATTACTTACCTTATTCTCTACTGTTTTCTTTACAGATTTGCATTTATAGTGAGATTCACCAGAAAAGAGTAGTATAATATTCTAGTTTTTACATTATATTGATGAAATGTTAGGCCAGTAGAGGAGTGGCATGTGAAATTCTTGCTGTCCGAGGGAATCTCAAGAGCCTTCCCCAGCATCACAGTTCGAAACCATCAATTCTTCGGCACTAAGCCGTCTTTCTGGTCCAGTTCTCACATCTGTACATGATACTGGAAGAACCGTAGCTTTGAGTATGCAGACCTTTATCAGCAAAATGATGTCTCTGCTTTTTAATACGCTGTAATGTGAGGTTTGTCATAGCTTTCCTTCTTGGTTCTTTGATTCCTCTTCACTTTCTGCCTTTAGAGTGGTATCATCTTCATATTTGAGGTTGTTGATATTTCTCCTGGTAGTTTTGATTTCAGTTTGCGATTCATCCAGCCTGGCATTTCATATGATGTACTTTGCATATAAATTAAATAAGCAGGGTTTTTGTTGTTTTAATGGTATGCAATAGGTCTCTCATGCTTTCTTTACAGTTTTTCTTTTTGTTCCTCTTTCTGTTTTTAAATGGCCTGTTTTCTAATGCCCTGATTCTTTCTTCTGCATTATTTAGTCTGCTGTTGATGTTCTAAGAATTTTTCAATTCTTTTGTTGTATACTTCAGCTCCAGGATTTGAGTTGGGTTCTTTTTTTATAATTTCTATATTAAGCTTCTCATTTTATTCATGCATTGTATTCCAGATTTCGTTTTGTTGTCTGTGTTCTCGTGCGTATTATTGAGCTTGATGTGATATTTCCGATTCTTTTTAGGGTAGTTGTACGTCTAGGTGTCTGGGAGTCACTATGGCCCTTGTGTTTGCTTTCTCTGGTGCTGTCGGGCTGTCTGATTCTCTCTGGGCCGTGTAGCTTTGTATCGGTGCCTCTGCCTCTGTGCTTCCCCGCGGACGTGGAGATGCGTGTCTCCCCCGGGTCCCAGGGTGGCAGGACTATTCCTGCTCCCTGCCGGCAGGGGCCTGGAGCCAGGCCACTGGTCTACTTCGGGCTTCGCAGTTAGAATGACTGATAGACTGTGGCTCTGCAACTGCACTGAGGAATTCTTTTTTTTTTTTTTCTTCCATTTATTTTTATTTGTTGGAGGCTAATTACTTTACAACATTGCAGTGGTTTTTGTCATACATTGAAATGAATTAGCCATGGATTTACATGTATTCCCCATCCCGGTCCCCCCTCCCACCTCCCTCTCCACCCCATCCCTCTGGGTCTTCCCAGTGCACCAGGCCCGAGCACTTGTCTCATGCATCCAACCTGGGCTGGTGATCTGTTTCACCCTAGATAATATACATGTTTCGATGCTGTTCTCTTGAAACATCCCACCCTCGCCTTCTCCCACAGAGTCCACAAGTCTGTTCTATACATCTGAGTCTCTTTTTCTTTTTTTGCATATACGGTTATCGTTACCATCTTTCTAAATTCCATATAAAAATATGGAACGCTTCACGAATTTGCGTGTCATCCTTGCGCAGGGGCCATGCTAATCTCCTCTGTATCGTTTCAGTTTTAGTATATGTGCTGCCGAAGTGAGCACTGCACTGAGGAATTCATCTGGGGGCACTTTCGGGGTTTCCTTCTGGTGGGTTCCTGGGAAAGTAGGGTTTCTCTTAGATCCTAGTTGGGAGTGGCTGGAGCCAGATTCCAGAGCCACATCAAGATCCACAGTGAGACTGAGGTCGCTGGGCCTATCTCTAGGGGCATGTATAGGCATGTCTCCTGTTCGATCCCTGGCAGGCACAGCGGCCTCCCATGGGTACAAGTGGGCAAAAGCCAGGTTGTGTGGGCCCTGCAGCCTCTAGTCAGATTTATGATGGGCGGCCCTTCCTCCAGTTGCACGGAAGGTTACTGCTCCAGCAGGTCTCTGAGTAGGCAGGAGTGTTCCTGGCTGTAGCTATGAGTATATGGGGCCACGTTACAGGGATTTTTTAGTATTTGCAGTCAGACAGAGGTTGGAGAACTTGCCTAGATTCATGAATGAGCATGTCTCTGCCCAGTCATAGGCAGGCAGGGTTGGAAGCTAATAGGAGCTGGAGTTGGGTCATGGAACAATTCAGTTTACAGCTGGAACTGAGACTGGTGGACCTATTATCCAAAGCACAGGTTGGCATGACTCTTCCTGGGTCGTTTTTCAACTGGTGATGGTGGCAAGGCCAAATAGGCCGTGTCCATAAGGTGTCAAGGGTCAGGGTCTGTTTCTAGGTCTGTAGGTAGGACTATGGTTAGCAGGTATGCCACATGAGTGAGTTTATGCTTGCCTTCTAAAAGCAACTCTCCTTGGTCTTGGCTGATACCAGAGTTTTACAGTCTTCTTTCTTCAATCCAACGTTTCACAAAAGTACTTTTGTCTTTGCTTGCCTGTCAAATTATTGTTGCTGAGAAGGGATATGAATGCAGGACTTCCTGTTCTGCTATTTCTAATGTCATTCCTCTATTTTTAATTGGTCTTATAGAAAATTGCTTGTGTACATGAAAAATAATGATAGTATCTGATAAAGAAATGTAACTATAAAAGTAAATATATGATAGTAATAGGACAAAGAATATGAGAGAGGAATTTGATTTACTAATTAAGGATTTTACATTATGCATGAAGTAGTGTGATCTAGAAGAGCCACTGAAAAAATGGTCAAAAACATGAAGGAAGTAAAAGTAATAAGCCAATAATGAAAATGAAAAGGAATTGTAGAAAGAATACTCAATCCAGAAACAACCAACTGAAGAGTTAAATGGGCTATAGAACAGGTGGAACAAATAGAGATCAACTAAGGAAGCAGTAAATTTAAATCCAGTTATAACAGTGTTCCATGTTTACTTGAATAAAATCTGTATCTGTAGTTGTTGAATGTTGTATTCTCTAAATGACAACTGGATTAAATTTGTTAATATTATTGTACAAATTTTCTGTATCCTTTCTTTTGTAGGTCTGCTTTTTCTGATTGTAGTTTTGTCTATTTCTCTTTTGAGATCTCTCAAGTTTGCTTCATTTATTTGAATATATCTTTTTAAGTTTATGCACAGTTTGAATTGTGATATCTTTTTGTTGTAGTCAATGTCCTTGTTTGTGTTAAAAATTAAAATAGTATTGATGTCTCGCTTGCCTTGTATTAATATAACTACCACTTTCTTTTATGGTATGTATTTGTCTCTTCTATTACTTATAACCTTTTTTAGCATGTTATTTTCAGATAATTTCAACATTACAGAAGAATTTTTAAAATGTTGTGCTGAACTGAAAGCTTTTTCCCCAAATTCTTCAGTTTTTGAAATGTTACCACATCGACTTTATTACTTCCTTTCTCCCTCCTTTACTGTCTATATGTACCTATGTGTGTTTAGCATTTTAATCTCTTACACAGTTCATATTAATTTTGATTAACAAGTTAAGAGTTTTCTGTTTTCTGTGTATAGTTTCCACTTTTCCTTTTGTAATAAGTAATGTTTGTGTTAAGGTACTTTGAGACCATGTATTTATTCTTTTAGTTACTAGATGTCTTTCACTATAGTGTTCATTAGTGATTCTTGCCTGAATCAGTTTTTTTCCTGATAATTTAGCTAATATAGGATTTTTTATTTCTTAAGGGGCTACTTTGTTGGTGCAGCAGTAAAGAATCTGCTTGGAGTGCAGAAGACTCAGGTTCAGTCCTGGGTCAGGAAGATCCCCTAGAGGAGGAAATGGCACCCACTCCAGTGTTCTTGCTGCGACAATCCCATGGAGAGGGAGAGGAGCGAAGACAAGCCTGGTGGGCTGCAGTCTTTGGAGTCAGAAAGACTCAGACACTGCTGAGCAGCTCTGTGTGTGTGTGTGTGTGTGTGTGTGTGTATGAGTTGCTCAGTCACATCTGACTCTTTGTAACTCCATAAACTAGCCTCCAGGGCTCCTGTGTCCATGGAATCCTCCAGGCAAGAATACAGGAGTGGGTTGCCATTCTCTTCTCTGGGGAGCAACTGAGAGTGTCAATATGTATTACTTCACATTCTGTATTAGGGAATCCTTCTGCATTACCTATTTACCTGTCTATTTATCTTTCTGTTTGTCTACCTATGCTCTCCTATTTACTGTATTAGACTTATAGATTTTTACATCATTCAGTCAAGTTGTTCCTTTAATGACCTTATTCATTTTGATGCTCAGATGGTCCCAGATGTAGCTGGTGTAAGCTACCTCAGGCTGGCTCATATGACATGTTGATGCACTTTTGTCATTTTGGGCAAATTTCCTAACTTAATCATGATACCATTAATTTGGTCAAGGAGCTCAGTTCTTTTTAGTGCTGAATGGCATCTTGACAGTAAGATCTGACCATGTGTCCTTGTATTTAAAATGTGTCAGTTTGAATCAACAAGTAGCTAGGTATTGGTTTTTTATTCATTCTGTCTATAGAATATTTATTCAATTACATTAACTCATTTAGTGATTTATGTGGATTTAAGCCTTGGATCTAGCTATTGTTTTTCTATTTGTTCCATTTTTTTTTTCTTTTTAGCTGCTTTTGTTCCCCCTGTTTTCTTTCCTTCTTCTAGATTACAGTCTTTTAGTATTATGATTTAGTTTCCCTATTGGCTTACTGGAGTATAACTTTTAGCTTTATTTATTATTTGTTTGTATTTTTTCTGGGGATTATAATGTATATCCTTGTTATTAGTTTATCTTGAATAATGATATGTAACTTTACATGTAATTTAAGAATCTTACAGCAATATAGTGTAATTTACCTTTACACTTACTTTTTTAATATTGTTGGTATATACTTATACAGTTGTTTTTAAATGCTAAATATGTTATTGTTTGTGCTTTGAACATTTAATTGTATTTTAAAATTCAAGAAAGAAAAGTAGTTCATTATACTTATCCACAGATTTGCTATTTCCAGGCCTTCTCATTCTTTCTTACAGATCTGTTATGACTTGGTGTCATTTTCTTTCAGTGTGAAGAATTCTTTTAGTTATTCTTTTAGTGTATATCTGCTGGTTTTAGAGTTTCTTAGCTTTTGTTTATCTAAAAATATTTTTTCATCTGTTTTCAAAGTTCTCCCTCTCCCAACCTGTTAAAGATGTTATTTCTCTGTTTGCTTTCATTGTTTCTGAAGAGAGATAAGCCAGTAGTCTTACTGTTATTCATCTAAATGTACTGTCTTTTTTTTCTGGTTGTCTTTAAGGTTTCCTCTTTATCTTTGCATTTTGCTGTGTTTTTCTTGTGAGATTTCATTTGCATCACTTCTCTTGGGGTTGTGTGAAACTCCTGAGATCAGTAGGTTGAGACCTTTTGTTAGGGTTGGAAATGATGCTGCCAGTTTACCCTTGAATGTGTCTCTCTTCTCATTTCTCCTTTTGCAACTCGTTGTTGTTCAGTTGCTTAGCCGTGTCCGACTCTGACCCGTGGATGCAGCACGCCAGGCCTCCCCGTGCCTCCTAACTGCTAAATATATCCTTCAAATTTCATCATTACTTGAGTGAACTGGATGTGAGTCTCATTTTTATTAGTTTCAAATTTCTTATGATTTCAGTTCTAAAAATTCTGTTGTAGTGTCTCTTTGTCCTCAAGACTCTGAAATTCCAAAGTTTCTATCCAGGGGCTTATCTCTGATTTTAACAGGATTTGAGTTGGAGTGGGTTTCAGCTTTGATTGGTTTTTGCTCTCCTTTGGATTGAATTGCAGTAGAATCTTGGAATCTAAACCCTTTGCAAAATGTGCAACATTTCTCTCTGATTTCTAGCACTCTGGTAGAATCTTTAGGGTTTTCTATGTAGAGGATCATGTCATCTGCAAACAGAGAGAGTTTCACTTCTTCTTTTCCTATCTGAATTCCTTTGACTTCGCAGCCCACACTATTAAAGGATTGAGTGGTGGTTTGTTTTTTTTTTTTCATTCCACTGAAGTCTCTCAGCATATGACTATTTCACTCTCTCATCTCTGTGTATCCAGATTAGACAAGTGGCCTTAGATATGAAAGTGACGGCTGCTTTTTGCTCATCTTTCAAGAGCTTTATCTCAGTGTACAATTTACTTCAGTTATGCATTTTCATGTATATTATACTTCATTAATATTAAAGGAAAATACAACTTTTAGCTCAGACCTAGCTTTCTTGTGCTTTGCAAGGTAATGACAGTGTTTCTTGATCTTTGACATCGTATCCACGAGTAGAATTTCTACCAGATCTTAAAGCATAATAGAAATATGTAATATGAGTAGAGATGCTAGGTGGGTGATTACTATCAGAGTCACCAGATTATTTTGGGCCCCTGTGTTCATCACTTTTATAGCAACCTTTACTTATTCATTACTCATACTATAATTGATATAACTGTGAGTTTAACATATGAAGGCAGGAACCATGAATATTTCTTCACCATTGTAAATTCAGTATTCCATCAACACAAGTGTGACTTCTATATCCCTTCACGATTGTAATTTCAATACCCCATTAACACGTTTTTGTAATGAAGTTTTATTTATTTTTTTTTCCATTTATTTTTATTAGTTGGAGGCTAATTACTTTACAGTATTGTAGTGGTTTTTGCCATACATTGACATGAATCAGCCATGTTTAGCCATCTGTATGTCTTCTTTGGAGAAATGTCTGTTTAGTTCTTTGGCCCATTTTTTGATTGGGTCATTTATTTTTCTGGAATTGAGTTGCAGGAGTTGCTTGTATATTTTTATGATTAATCCTTTGTCTGTTGCTTTGTTTGCTATTATTTTTTCCCATTCTGAAGGCTGTCTTTTCACCTTGCTTATAGTTTCCTTGTTGTGCAATTCAATAAAATTTTTGGAAAGGGTGGCAATAGGCCAGAGGTTATCATTCAGTTAAATATATCCTGTAAGAATATTTTGAGGTATCTTTTCTTCTCCTAACTGAATTTCCTACCTGGATTCCTTACAGTCTTATTTATTTCTAATAATTTTGTCTTCTGCATAATAGACAATCTAGTTTGCCTACACACTTAGTAATTTAAGATTTTTAATTGGACTATGTACTAAGCCTATAATTTTATTCTGTAGAAAGAGAAATCAATAAGATAAAATTTGTGACCTTTGCTCACAAGGAATAAATTATTGAAAAATAACTGCTTACAAATCTACTTATGTTTATTTCTTGATAAAGAAGTATCAGTGCAATACTGACTTTATTTTGAAGAAATATTTGTCTCAAAAAGGTATCTTTTATAGAGAGACAGCTTGGGTGACACTTCTAGGGGCTTGTGAAAGATGTATAGTTCTGGAATTTTGTTTGTTGATTGTAAGATTTATTTTTAAAACTTTGTAAAGATAATTTTGGAGTTATTTTCTTTATGTTTAGTTTCCTTTACTGAATAAAAAGTGTCATTATTGATCACTTTTGGAATAGTAAGGATTATAAAACATTTAGGCAGAATTACATTATTGGTTTATTTTCAAAGTCAGGGAAAAAGGGAGGGCCAAGATAGATGTAGGGAATTAAGAAGGACAAACTACTATGATTGGACTAATAAGCTACAAGGATATGTTATACAGCACAGGGAATATAGCCAATATTTTATAACTTTAAGTGGAATATAATCTTTACAAATTTTGATTCATTTTGTTGTCTACCTGAAAGTAATGAAATCTTATAAATCAATAATAAAGGACAGAAATGGTAAAGACCTAGTGGATGCTGAAGAGATCAAGAAGCGAAAGAATCCACAGAAGAACTGTACAGAAAAGATCTTCATGTACTGGATTACTACAGTGGTGTGCTCAGTCACCCAGAGCCAGACATTCTAGAGTTCAAAGTCAACTGCTGTTAATAAAGCTAGTGGATGTGACAGAATTCCAGTAGAACTATTCAAAACCCTAAAGGATGATGCCTTCAAGATGTTGCATTCAATATGCCAGCAAATCTGGAAGACCCAGCAGTGCCACAGTACTAGAAAAGGTCAATCCTCATCCCAGTTCCCAGAAAGGGTAGTACTAAAGAATGTGCTAACTATCAGATAGTTACACTTATCTCCCATCAGGTCATGCTTAAAATCTTGCATGCTAGGTTCAGCATTATGTGAACCAAGAACTTCCAGATGTCCAATCTGGATTTAAAAAAGGAAGAGGAACCAGAGATCAAATTGCCAACATTCTCTGGATCATAGAGAAGGTTAGGGAATTCCAGAAAAACATCTACTTCTTTTTTATTGACTACACTAAAGCCTTTGACTGTGTGAATCATAAAAAAACTGTGGAAAGCTTTTAAAGAGATGGGAACACCAGATCATCCTACCTATCTCCTGAGAAACCTGTTTGCAAGTCAAGAAGCAACAGTTAGAACCCTGTATGGAACAACTGATTGGTTCAAGATTGAGAAAGGAGCATGACAGGGCTGTCTGCTGTCATCCTCTTTGCTTAACCTATACACTGAGCACATCATGAGAAATGCTGGGCTGGATGAGTTGCAAACTGGAATCAGGGTAGACAGGAGAAACATCATCAACCTCAGATATGCAGATGATACCACTCTAATGGCAGAATGCGAAGAGGACCTAAGGAACCTCTTGATGAAGGTGAAGGAGGAGAGTGAAAGAGCCTGCTTAAAACTAAGTATTATAAAACTAAGATAATGGCATCCAGCCCTGTACTTCATGGCAAATAGAAGGGGAAAATGTGGAAATAGTGACAGAATTCCTCTTCTTGGGCTCTAAAATCACTGTGGATGGTGACTGCAGCCAGGAAATCAGAAGATGATGCTTCTTGGCAGGAAAGCTCTGACAAATCTAGACAACGTGTAAAAAACAGAGACATTGCACTACGGACAAATGTCCATAGAGTCACAGCTGTGGGCTTCCCAGCGGGCTCATGCAGCTGTGAGAGCTGGACTGTAAAAAAGGCAGAATGCCACAGAATTGACACCTTCGATCTGTGGTGCTGGAGAAGACTCCTGAAAGTCCCTTGGACAGCATGGAGATCAAACCAGTCAATCTTAAGGGAAATCAACCCTGAATTCTTGGTAGGACTGATGCTGAATCTCCAGTATTTTGGTCATCTGATGCAAACAGCCGACTCATTGTAAAAGTTCCTGATGCTGGGAAAGATTGAGGGCAGAAGGAAGATAGGGTGTCAGAGGATGAGGTGGCTGGGTGGCATCCCCAGTGCAATGGACATGAACTTGGGTAAGCTTTGGGAGATAGTGAGGGTCGGGAAGGCCTGGCGTGTTGCAGTCCTTGGGGTTACAAAGAGTTGGACATGACTGGGCAACTGAACAACAAGAAGACATAATATGAAAGATGATGACATAGAAGCGAGATATTTTTCTGTTTTTAAGGAGCTGTTATCAGATAATTTTGCAGGAAGGTTACAAAGAGATCAGCTTGAAAAATTATGAATGTTAACTGTGAAGGAATTTGAATGTGTGGGAGAAATAAGGTTTCAGGACACAGAATCATGTTAGAGGATTCTTTCATGAGAGGTAGTGTAGCATAGTGTTTAAGTGTTGTAGGCTTTAGATCTAGACTGCCTTATTAAAATCTTTTTTTTTTTTTTGCTATCTGCTCAATACTAAAATTATTTCATATGGTTATTGTGAGGGTTATACATTAAAGTATTTAGAACATAATTTCTGAAGTACAATAAATATTTCCTGCAGTTATTATTATTATTAAAGTACTACTGGAGCCTTGTTTGCAAAATAATTCTCCTACCTATGACTGACTCTTGATACTTCCTTTTTAGCTCAACTGAAGTTGATGACATGATTCGTAAATCAACAAACCTGTTGCTAACTAGGACTCTAAGCAACTCTCTGCAGAATGTCATTAAAAGGAAGAATATTGGACTTACTGAGGTAACTCTGCTATTATTGGAGGCAGTCAAGGCAATATGTGAATAGATCTCCAAAGCTCTGGGGCTTGTGTGTTAATTAATTACAATTTTCTGTGTGGTCTCTCATGTTATTCATGGGCTCATGGTGAAAGTGCAAATTCCTTGTAGTTTTCTTTTGTTGCCTTGGAGAAATCCAGCATTTTTTTGGAAAAGTCACTTTTTTTCTCTCTCTCATTATCTTCATTAATTTAACTGGTTTTCCTTTCTGAGGTTTGCGTTAAATTTCTATTATTTGCTATTGATTATATATTTAAAAAATGTTGATTGGAGAATAGAGTCAATGTCAGGATCCTGTTTAAAATAATGGCACTTGATGAGTACAACATACAGTATGAAATCACATTTTGCCTACATAAGTCATTGATGTCAGGGATATTAGCATTCATAGTCATTGGTTAGTGTTAGATTCAGATTTTGTTTTTGAGATACATTAGGAATATGAATAGTAAATTACTCTTAATTAGCATGTAACTGGGAATTTAGGATTGAGGAAATGTGAGAGAAAGGCAGTTGTCACATTTCTGTGGAAGCTTACACATTCTCACAAAGGATGAAGGGATATTGTACTTATGTTGAGAACAGTATCTTGGCAAACTGAATATCTGATGCGTTGTCATAAGTCCTAAAATTTAGAAAGATGTGAAATTTCCCTTTTCTTATAAACCCAGGTTTGTGTGGGAGTCTCAACCTGCCATTTTATGGAAATCAGTGTCAAAAGTGAGAGATTGGAGGAATCTTCTTCACAAGCAAAGGGAAAGGCTGTTGGCCATCTGTTTTACCTATATAGGTGGTATAGTTTCAAATTCAGTTGGTCTAGAAAATTGACATTTTTAGGTATATGTTACCAAGGATGAACATTAGAAAGTGATCAATGATACTGACCCATAGGTAAACATAGCTGGAAGCCACGTGAACATCTATTGTTATTTCTGATTTTGGAGTGATTGTTTCTTTCCCTGTATTAATATTTTAAAATACTGTATTATAATATATAAATAGTGTATTACAACATGGGACATTGGCAGTGATTGAATTCTACTTATAACCAACTTATTTTTATAGTCTAAAGTCACATTTGACACTATTAGACAATCCCTTCACTTTGCAGTGCTTTGTTTCTCTTGCCTGATATAGAAGTGTTAGTTATTGCCATTTGTGTCTGAGAATAGGCTAACTTCTTTTGTAATCAGGAACGCTACAAAAAACCAAGTTTGACTGAAAATTTGGCAGTCCCTCTGCTTTTGCAAATTATTCTGTTCTCCTTTTCTAAATCCCAAGTAAGACAAGAATCTTATTTATGAATTACTTTTTCATTAAAGCTCTTGATATAATTCTGCTTCTGCCATTTGATTTAGCAGTCTCTTAAAAGCCTTTTAATTTAATTATTTAATTTTTATTGAAGTTTAGTTGATTTATAATACTGTGTTAGTTTCAGGTACCCCCCCCCAAAAAAAAAGAAATTCATTTTAAACAAGTAGCACAGCAGGAATGTGGTCTAGTAGAAAGAGCTTTGGCCACAGAAGGCTCTAGATTTAGTTGTGACTATGCCATTGATTTACTGTAGCATCTTAAAAGAAGACCTAACTCCTTAGCTCTTCAGTTTTTCTGACTCCATTGTTCTTTTCAAGGGTAATGTACAGATCAACTAACAACAGGAAGAAGCAGCAGGAACTTGTCAAGAAGGACTATATCACATTTCTTGACATTATTTCACTGGATGCTAAATGTTATTGCTAAGTCATTGGATCATTTTAGGCAAAAATACTTTTGTTATCAAAATCTTTGCATATGCATGAAGGAACATCCACAAATATTTATTTATTTTGGCTATGATGGCTGTGTATACTTGTATAGATGCTTACACAACTAGTGAATTTTTTCATTACCAAGTAAATCTTTGACTAACTGTATTATTCAACTTTTATGAAAGGGAGGACATTATATCTTCCTTTATAGGTAACTGAAGTGATTTTTACATCTGAAATCATCATCATAATAAGGCAGTGTTTGTGTAAAAATTTATATTCCTCAGGGGCTGTTCACATATAATCACCTTATCTAAATAAGGTGATTTAGCACAATAACATTTGAAGCAGGTTGGGCATATATTATTATTCCCTTTTTATAGAAGGTATAATTAAAGTTCAAGGAGAATGCCCAAGCGAGCAGAATGATAGAAATGAGGCTTGAGTTCAGGTTATTTTTTCCCCAAACTTATTAATATTTACTATATTGTATTGCCTTCCATATTGATGTAATTATTCTATCGTAACAAGGATAGAGATTTTTATAGGAGGTCCGTGGTAACATGGAAATTGTTCTACTTATAGATGATTTTGTAATATATCCACTCAAATGATAGAAGTATTGTAAGCACTCAAAACTCACAAGAGTCCTGTTTCTGGTTACCAGACAGACAATTCATTTAGCATTTACAAGCTCACATAACTTAATGTCTTCCTGCCTATCTTGATTTGCGATTATATGCCATCTCATCTCTTAATTTTTTTCTGTCCATATACTCTATCCTTTTATCTCTTTCTCTCTATAAACTAGCTTTCATACCTTTCACATGACTTCTTTTCTTCCCCGCATTAAGCCAACTCAACATTACCTTTCATTTCTAGTCCCTACTGTAACTTGAATGCCCTATACTCTCAGACCCTAAATGATGATCTACATACAGTTCAGTCAGCACGTAGAGCTGTTTCCTAGGGATACTTCTTCCAGGTCTGTGAGAAGAAGGTCAGCTGAGCAGCAGTCAAGAGTGTATGTTCTAAAGCAGACTGCATGGGTCCCAGTTTTGGTTTTCTTTAATAAATATGATCTTGGGTAGATTACTTGGGTTTATGTGAAAAATGGGGACAATAGTAGCATGTATTTCATAAGATTTCTGTGAAGATAAAATGAACAGATAAAGTACTTAGAATAGTTCCTGGTTCATAGCAAATACTCAATGCATATTGCTTATTATTAAAAAAGAGGTCTGGCAGATAGTGTGATGGTTAGGGCTAGTACAGAAATGTAGTTTTTCAGTTAAGAAAAGTCAGAAGACTAGAGCAAGATGTCCTATTAAGATAAATAATTTTTAAAATTAACTTTACAGTTTTATTAATTTCCTACTCTGTGACAGGCACTGATCTAAGTCTTAAGAATAAATAAGTAAAGAACAATAAGAACAACAACAAAAGAGATTTTTGCTTATATTCTAGTGGCAGAAAACAGATAATAAATAGTAAATTAAAAAGTAAACCATCTAGTATGATGAAAGCTTGTGAATTCTATAGATGAAGAGAAAGAACCTGGGTTAAGGAAATCTGGTGGAGGTTCAAGGTTGGTCTTACCAGAAAGAGCAACATATTGACAGTAAGTTATCATTGAAGGGGAAAGGGTATTCTTGGCAGAAGTTAGAACTAGAACAAAGGTCTGAAAGTAGTTAAGTTATTGGCAAGTGTAGGGAATAATAAGGAAGCTAAAGTAGTTGGACTGGAGTGATCTAGGGGAACAGAAAGAGGAGATTAAATCAAAGAGGGACCAGGGATTCATGTTAGGCCATTAAAAAGTGTTTGGCTGTTGTTTTGTATGAAAAGGGATGCCATGGCAGGATTTTGATAGTGGCATGATCTGGCATATTCAGAAAGGACCACATTGACTATGGTGTTGAGAATTAAATGTATGGTAGAAACAGGGAGACCAGTTAGGAGGCTATTACAGTAATCCTGCAAGGTTTGATGGAAGCTTGGGGATAGAGGTGATGACAAGTGGTCCTATTTGGACTGTAAAATCAGTATGGTTTCCTGATGGTTAGATGTAAAGAAAGCAAGTAAATGAGAAATTGATACCTCTCAATATTTTCATGTGAGCAACTAGAAGGCTGCGTATAACATATGCTTTGATAGGAAAAATTTGAAGTAGAGCTAAATTTGGGGTCTGACTCTGCAATCCCATGGGCCGTAGTCTACCAGTCTTCTCAGTCCATGGGATTTTCCAGGCAAGAGTACTGGAGTGGGTTGCCATTTCCTTCTCCAGGGGATCTTCCTGACCCAAGAATTGAACCCAGGTCTCCCACATTGCAGGCAGACTCTTTACCCTCTGAGCCACCAACCTAGATAGCATATTAAAAAGCAGAGACATTACTTTGCCAGCAAAGGTCCGTCTGGTCAAGGCTATGGTTTTTCCAGTGGTCATGAATGGATGTGAGAGTTGGACTATAAAGAAAGCTGAGCACTGAAAAATTGATGCTTTTGAACTGTGGTGTTGGAGAAGACTCTTGAGAGTCCCTTGGACTGCAAGGAGATCCAACCAGTCCATCCTAAAGGAGATCAGTCCTGGGTGTT